CATATGTGTGCGACCAAACAGTCGGCCCTGAAATGGCAACTGATACAATGTGGGCGACCAAATAACATGCAAATGTTTGGTTTTTGGTCTGTTTTGCCTAGCCAAGCTAAACTGAGACAAGTATGCAATGCAGATAGTTTTTGAGATGACAACCAAACACGACCCATATGGCATCGGGTAATCATCTTCTCCGCGCGCCCGGCTATGTAATATCTAACGCGAATCTACGATAAAATCTGTACATTGAAACATGATCAAACAAAAGAAGCACACCACAGCCGGTGTGGGCAAGGAAATCAGGACCTAGAGGTGGTTTCGATGATGGTGAGGGGATGTGTTAGAAGAAGAGATCCTTGGGGGCGGCAGGGGCTTCCAGGAGAGGATGGCAATAAGGCTGGACTTGCCGCCGGTGTTGGGGTCGCAGACCACCACCACCCACATCTCCCTCCACGCTTCTCCATTTGCTGAAAGGAAAGCAACAAAGAGCAATTGGCGTTCGTACACAAAAATAGATATCTTAGAAAGCAGTTTCTTTCAATGGTGGAGAAGATGAAGAGGGAAGCAAAACCCATTGGTATATTTTATAGAACAAATAGGGAGGGAGATGAAGAGGATGGTGGAGAAGATGAATAGAGAGGTGGGAATCAACAGATGGGGATTAATTGAGACATTAGGGCTGCGATAATAATTGTATGGAGAGGGGAAAAAGGCTTGCGTGGAGAGGGGAGAAAGAGGACATCCAGCGATGCAATGGAAATTAACGAAGTGGCTCGATAGAAAAAAAATATCTTTCGGTTGGAAAAAAGATGACATCAGCAAATGACATGGCATCATCATATCTTAGGAAAATTTGGTAGTGGAAGGCAACTATTTATTAGTAATAGAGGATTAATGCTATGTGGTGTTTGGCTGCTATGTTGAATTGTAATCATAACTAGATCATTGATGGCGCGCGTTGCTGCGCCCTTTTATTGTGACTATAAAAAGGTAAAAATGTTCACATTAATATACACAAATATTACACGGATTACAAAAGTTTGGGCATGGATGCACATGCTTACTATTGTGTGTCGAAGAGGAATATGAACATTCATTATCTCACATTGCTTTGAAATATTATGTTGTGCGTCAAAGCGTAGAACAATGGTAGCCACGCATTAATTAGCATATGGCATGTATATATCAAATGCTATCAACTAAGAAAGACCCATATTACCTTTTTTTTCTTCTGAAGGTGGTAACACTTCAACTTTCATTAATATGGCTAGCTCATACAATTAAAAATAAGCTTGAAAGAAAGTCCTTTTTATTTGAGTGGTTTCGAGGAGACAATACCCTTTTTCCTTGAACATTCAACACAAGCTGAATCAAGAACAATAATTTGACAAAAAAGTTGATTACATGATATCAAGCATAGCATACATCCTTCCTTGTGTTTGCAGTACATGAACACGGGCTGCAGTTGCAAACATATGGTTCAAAATGGATGCTAGTTGCACATTTGTTTTTGTTTACTATCTCTGGTTTGGACTATTAAGTAGAGACTGCAATGCACAATGTGAGTTAATCTAGGCAGAATACTACGAATAAACTACAAGTCGATACACTTATTATTTGCCGAGTATAGAAAATTGTGACATACTCCCTCCGTTCCAAAATAGATGACTCAACTTTGTACTACAGAGGGAGTATATGTCCTTTTAAAGGATCTCAAGCCGTGCTGCTAGAGGCCCATTCAAGGCATACATGGCACTTCTGTTCAGTTTTATATGTGCCTGTTTAAGGAGGCATAATCTAAGTGATAAACATGTAGATCCAACAAATTAAATCAGTACTATGCCACAATCATGTTCGACGTTGATCCATTTGGCTATTATATGTAACACATATATGTCTGCAAACAACACATTAATCAAAATAATACAAAGAATGATAGAAAATGGAGGTGGCTGAGGTAAGCAAGGGTGATTTGCTCATAGATCATTTTCTTCAGTATTACTCAAGCATCATTATAGATCTACATACCTGACTGAGTAAGAGAAAATTGCAATGTTTTGTCAATATGAATGATGGTTACTTGCTCATGCATCAACGAAATAACAAAATAAAACCTCCAAAGAAGAACTATAAACCCTTCAAAAAAGAAAGACTAAACTATAATATTTTACTGTTAGTCTATCATGCGGCAGCGCCCGGCCGTTCTGTTCCTCGAGTATTCCGAGTCGCCTACCCGTTCATGGTCCTGAAGTGCGTTTTCCGGAGCGAGATCAATCTGACCAAGTAAGCTGGCGGCTCATAAACTAAGTACGTGTGTTTTTGCTACGTGCTCATGTAGGGACTTTTTTTGCGGGAACTCATGTAGGGACTTTGCTAGCACCAAGAGAAGGAATCGATCAAATAATGTGCATGTGGTGTACTTGCGTGTCTCCCGACAGACACTGCACGATGACCGCCGCTGATGCTGCAGCCGCGGGAGAATAGGTAGAGGAAGAGGAACAGGATGTACCATGCTGGGTGTAGGGGACACCGACGCAACGGCCAGGCCTCGACCGATGTAGCGGCTTGCCATTTGATGACGCTGTTGTGCTACCTACCGTCGAGGACGCGGCCAGCTAGTAAGCACGTGGTGCGTCCTGCCGTTTACGACGAGTCGGACTGTCGGAGAGGAGCACGTCCCCGAGGACAGCCACCTCGGCCTTGAGCTCGAACCACACAAGAAGGACGCCGTCGTCGTGGTCAACACCCATGTCCTTCCATGGCCCGCGTCTTCTTGCGGCGAGGCGTCATCAGGAAGGTGAAGGCGCAGTCGCTCGTCCCTCTCTGGATTCTCGCCGCCAGTATTTGCCGGTAGGGGTCTGGACTCTGGACACGATGGAAATGGATGCTTTAGACTACCCACAATGGGAGTAACATAGGTAGTAACATCACACATATCTAGATAAAATAGATGATGTGGCAAGCAATAAATGAAGAAAAAGAGAAACGTGGTAACATAGCTAGTTACTAGCAGTAGTAGTAACATCACACATATCAAGGCAAGATGTGTTTATAGCCTAATAAATGAAGGGTTGCATGTTATCACACATATGTTACTACCCAATATAGAGGTAGTAACATAGACTAGTAACATGTCGATGTTACTACTCTATGTTACTACCCATTGTGGCTAGTCTTACTGCGGCGCTTCAAGGATGGCTGATCAGCTTCAATCGCCCACACGCCACATTGATGCAGCTTTAATGCCTCACTAAACACCCGTCGGTCCATCTTTACTGTGCATCTCGCTCCCGCATCGGCCGGCGAGGCGCTCATCGCTGCTTGCGCCTCTCGAGGGCCTCGACTGGACCTGCATCAGCCAATGCGTGCATCGCTTGTCCCGCGTCGGTCTCTCGTACATGTGATCGATTGGATCGAGGCTCGGATTGTTTTCTCTCGCGAGAAGGACGACGTGGGCACATTACTTGATCAGTGGGCTTCATCAAAGAGGGCCCAATTAACTGCAGGCCTTCAATTTTGTTGCGGGAGTAGCTGCCCAGTCCAGTGGCCAGAAGTAATGCGCAAGAGTTTGATTAGACGGCCAAAAATGCTTAGAACTGGAGATCCGACAGTCAAGAATGCTAATGGCCTGAGATGCTAGGAAAAGTGCTCAGTTTTAATATATCTAAATGAACATGCACATCTCAATATGTACATTAACACATTTACAATCTAAAAATGGTAATCAACCCAAAAATAATTGTGCATTTTTTAAATGATCAAGATCAAGAAAATCTATGTAGACACATCATCTTCACACATTCACTCATTCAAATATGTAAATGTAATCATCTAAAATGCAGATAATAATAGCGACAAGATCTTTGTTGGACCATTAAAGGCTGAAATTTGGGCTCGCCGAAAACCAAGATCTTTGACGGTTCATAGCTTGTATTAATCATGGTATGAAAGATAAAAGACTAAGTTGCCATTGCAAATGTAGGACCATAAAAATAAATTTTGTATCGAACAAAGAGGCTTGAACTTGCATTTAGATATTGGTTTGAACTTGTGGCTTCTTTGCTGCCCTGCAAACATCATGGGAAGCATGTAGGCAAACTTACTATAGTAGTTATCAAATTTTAAGCTTCTAAACCTTACATTACAAAGAAAAGTATAAGACCTTCTGGGTGCTATGTTCTTGACTATTACTTTGGAAATCATCGGTTACTGCTAGAAATAAGGAGAAATACATGTGTATATCCAAACCATGTTGGTGTGTTGTGTGAGCGGTGTCAAAATTGTGCAAAGAGTAGTAACAGTACTCTGTCAAGCCTGAACCCAATGCTTCCCAGCAATGTCTTCGCGTATTTGAAAGAAAAGAGAAGAGCAACATAACACTTGACATAGCAAGAACATGCGAGTGCCATGAATAAATACAGTTGTAAGACATGCAGTTTGCTAAACCACTTGGGCTAAGAGTACATATTTTAAGATCAACGTAACATTGAGGGGTTGTTTGGTTTCTAGCCACACTTTGCCACATGTTAAGTTAGGCAAGTTTTGTCAATTTAGGTGTTTGTCTGGTTTTAGCCACACCTAAAGCAAAAATCTTTTTTTTGACAAATAAGCCCCACATGTCATACAGACAAAAAATGTAGCAAGACTCCCGAGGCAAGCCAATGTGTGGCTAACTATTTGAGCACCTAACATAAAGCAAGTGTGACAAACATAGTATGATTTTTTTGAGGGGTAAACATAGTGTGATAAGCTGTGACAAAATTAGTCACAAACCAAACAAGCCCTGAGTTTTTTTTCTTTTCTTTCAGCTTTTTTTTTTTGAGACAAACGGGTGGTAAGAGTTATATGACCTTCAGCCCAAATAGGTGGTGGAGCGGTCCACAAGTCCAGCCCAATACCCAATAGGCAGAGCGGTCAGCTTGTCAAAGGGGAATCCCGTGTTCGATTGGGACCCGGGTCAACCAGGACCCGTCCGTTTTATAGGGGAAACCACAACGGCGGCGATGCGGCTACTCTCCGGCGTCCCCGCCTCCGCGTCCTCCCGCCTCACCTCCCCGCGCATCTCCTTCGCCCGCTCGAGCCGTAGAAGCATGGGGGCGAACGGCCCCACTACCGGCACCGCCTCCTCGTCATCCTCTTCCTCGGCCACTGCCAGCGCCGGCGCTGGCGCCGGCGCGGCCCAGAAGCCGTGGCTGTTCGTCGGGCTCGGGAACCCCGGCAGGATGTACAAGGGGACCCGCCACAACGTAAGATTCCGGCGCTCCAGCTGTCTGGATCCCGCTTTGCTTGTCTTAGAAGGAACTCTGCGTTTTCAGCTGGTAGCCCTGTCGACTGTCCAAGTTAATCATGATGCAATTCATAAATCCTACTGGTAGTTGCTAGAAATTAGTACAATTTTCTGAAGCCATTTTAACTACGTCTACAAACATTGATGTTGCGTGGTTGGAAAGGCTAATTAGGCTTGATGCTAAGCTCCTCGCCAGGGTAAAGGTGTTATCTTTTTGGTTGCTTGCTTGATACTACAAACTCTTGGCTTTCAGTTAACTGCGTTCTGTCCCGATTAATGTGATTAGTTGAACTATACTCTGGATTACAGTATATCACTATTATATCCTGTTGGTAATCATTCTGTTGTTGCATATAGGTTGGGTTTGAGATGATTGATGCTATTGCAGAAGCTGAGGGGATATCTGTCAGCACTAAGCAATTCAAATCGATGGTTGGGAAAGGTAATTTCCACACATAAAGCTTGTTGATTTACAATAGGTGCAGCTATGCAGTAGTTGTACATTTGAGATATACTCCCTCCATCCCAAAATAAGTGTCTCAACCTTAGTACAACTTTGTAAAATAAGTTTCTCAAGCTTAGTACAACTTTGTACTAAAGTTAGTACAAAGTCGAGACACTTATTTTGGGACGGAGGGAGTAATTTATAACGGACCACTGCAACAAGCTAAATGTTGGCCTGCTCAAATTATGTCTAGCTCTGTTTTTGAATTGTGTTTTCCGGCAGCTTTTTTTTACTTTGCTAATTGTTCACATAAAGAGTAACCAAATAAGGCTTGTTGGTTAAGACTTGGTATTCATCATTCTGTCCCTCTGACGCACTTTCCTGTAAGAAAGCAAAATCAAATGTTCTTGCTGTTTCTATTGAGTATTATCCAACTCCAGGACGTTGTAATAGTCTAATAGATGGGTGTGAACTGTTAACCCATCATTTGTGGTTGCACTCTATTTTTGAGAAAAACGATTCCTTCGTGACCTTTATGCACTAGGCTTATATCTTTGGTTAACGTACTGTAAGAAGTATCTACATGCCAATATTTGTGTAATCAAGAATTATGTCCTTAAAACGCAAGTTCTTAGTTTTTTTTTTCGTATGCTTGATTGTTTGTTCGCAATGGACATGGATAAGTATTTAAATTCCTGAAACGGCATTGTTGATCATATTGCCTTGTATTTATAGGCCTTATTGGTGATGTCCCTGTAATGCTTGCCAAGCCGCAGACTTTTATGAATGCAAGTGGTGAGTCTGTAAGTACAGCAACTCTAATAATGCAGCTTCAGATCACTACTTTCAGCAGGCCCTGTTTACTGAATAGGACTGCCTTATGCAGGTCGGCCAGCTGGTTTCATATTTCAAGATACCACTTAACCAAGTCGTTCTGGTAAATATTGTCCGCTAGCTCATAATACATGTTTTGATGTTCCTAGTTATTCACAAACTGTTGTTTGATTCTTTTAGATCTACGATGATCTAGACTTACCCTTTGCAAAACTACGTCTACTGCCAAAGGGGGGACATGGTGGGCACAATGGGTATTTATTTAACCTGTTCCCATCCTGCTATGTTCCGCGGTTCTTTGTTATTTGTTCTTAATCGTTTGCCCTTTGTTCTACCTTAACATATGATTAATGTTTCAGGATGAGAAGTGTCATTCACCATCTGAAACAAAGCCGTGATTTCCCACGGCTAAGAGTTGGTATGTCAAACGATCGCTTCTTTTAACTCCTTTGTCATTGAGGTGACGAATCTGAAAATACAAATCCCCCAAATGTTTTGCAGGCATTGGACGGCCAACTGGAATGATGGGAGCCATCGGTTTTGTTCTACGTGCATTCAGCAAGGAAGAACAAGAAGAGGTACTTTTACCCGCATATTGCATTGTACATATTTTTGACAAAAATATACCAAACTGAAGAATATGCGTGGAAATTTGCTTCTGCGCTGATCCTGTGCTTTTTTTTTCTTGTAAGCAAGCACTCAGTGACTAGCTGAAGCACTATGTCTATGTGTACAAAAAACCACAGCATCAACTAACTTCTGTCTCCACCCCAATCTTTTGCAGCTTGATTCCACGTTCCTGAGGGGCTTGCAAGCGGTGCGGATAATGTTGCTGGAAGGATTCAACAAGAGTGCGACCTTCGTGAACACTCCAGCTCCACGGCCACCTGAAAACGTTGAAGAGATGAAAATAACCTGACCGTAAACAGCGCTGCGATGCACACTGTGAAGTGTAAATTAGTTTGTTCAGGTTAAGAGTCACTCAGGTAGCTGCAGAAACTAGAAAGCGCAAAGGACCTTTGTCCTTTGAGCATATGTATCCTGAATTCCAGATTCATTTTGAGCATATGTATCCTGAATTCCAGATTCATTTGTAGAGGCGTCCAATGGAGCGCACACCAAAGCTTGTAACAGTTGTACTACGTTTTCGCCTCCAGCGTGAAGCATTTATTTGTTCTAGTGCTTATATCAGCAGCTTTTGTTCCAAGCAGATCTCCTTGTGTAACAAATTGAGTTTCTCTATTTTACATGGCTTGATTGCCGCCTTTTTGGCATTTTTAACGACTCTGTAATGAAACTTAGGTTATGTGCATCTGTTGAGGCACAGATATTATTGTACTTTCTAGAAATGTACATATGTGGTATGTTTATCCAGTTGATTTCAAAACCTGGGATGTTTTGTCGATAAAAATTGAACATTGTGTTTCTGCATTTGATATTTTTTGGGCTCCTTTGGTTCAGAGGAAAACCGTAGGAGTTTTAGAGGATTTGATTTGGATCATTGGAATTTTTTCCTATGACGTCGTTTGGTTCGTACGATCGGAATCCTTAGGAACCTAAGGATTGGATTACGCTACGTTTTCTAGTCCAATTCTTAGATTTCTTTTTAGTTTTTTTTCAATCCTGTAGAATTCAATAAAATAGCCCAAATGATGTACGCGTGGCACAAAGTAACACCGCCCTGAACGTTAGAATGCTTCGTTTTTTTTCTATTCCTGTGCTTTGAGATTGATGTAGATCGAAAGAGGATTTACAAATGCTTGATGGACTGCTGTCATATTTCTCAGTAGTTGCTGTCAATCTGGTCATGAGAATCGACAGCTTTGTCTGAATGATCATCAGCTGGATGTGATCTGATTGAACAGACGGTGCCCGTCAGATGTCGGCTAAATCTAAATCAGGGCCGTCCATCCATGCAGTTTCTACCGCTTTCCAGTTCCCACCAACCCCCACCCGCTACAGTCTAAAACCCTCGTCCACCTCCACAGTCCGCATCCACTGCCCCCAATCCCCGCATCCCCGCCGCCGCCGCCGCCGCCGCCAGCTCCACCATGGCGGCCACCACCCACGCCCCCTCCCCCTCCCCGTCCC